AATCTTAAAAGTGAGATGCCAGGGAATTTCTTCTCCCAGATAATGTCTGGAATTCTCAATCACAGAGAGTTGAGGAGATCTGATCACTGGAAGTATTTAAAGAGAAGGCATTTAACTATTTAAAATCTCAGGGAACTAAGGGCTATGAGGAGCTGGATTGAAAGAGAGTTGAGGTCTAGAGCAGATTAGTGTGATCTTATACAATGATGGCGCTGGCCTGAGTGGACAAATGGTCTACTTCTGTTCCTGTTCCTTGTGTTTATTATGTTAAAGGTACTATTTAAATGAATTGTTGTTATTGGCAAAGGACATATTGTGTCTCACTTTGTTCTTGCTCTAAGGCATTAACACTTCAAGTTATAGCAGCCTTCCTGTGTGTGTGTGTGTGCGTGCATGCGTGTGTGTGTGTGTGTGTGTGTGTCTGTGTATGTATGTGTGTGTGTATGTGTATGTATGTCCGTGTGTGTATATTTGTGTCTGTGTTTGCATGGGTGTCTGTGTATATGTGTCTCTGTGTCTCTGTGTTTGCATGTGTGTGTGTGTGTGTTTGTGTGTGTCTATGTGTGTCTGCCTGTGAGTGTGTCTGCCTGTGAGTGTGTCTGCCTGTGAGTGTGTGTCTGTGTGTGCGTCTATGTGTGTGTCTATGTGTGTGTGTGTGTGTGTGTGTGTGTGTGTGTCTGTGAGTGTCCTCCAAAATTTAACATTTTTAGCTGGCTTATCATTCTGATGAATCTGTGCTGCAATTCTTTCAAGACCAGAGTATCGTTTCTGAGGAGAATGTGTCTGGAACTGAATGCAGGGGAGGCATGTTTCTGTTTGTCCGAGAAGGTTCACTTGAAATAATGCAATCTCTGTTTAAAAGTCAGCATTGTTTGCTTCCCTGTAGGCACCTCTGTATTACAGCTGACTGCAACTGATGCTGATGAAGGGGAGAATGCCATGATCCATTACAGGATCATAAACCAAGGTAGCAGAGCGGAATTTACTGCAACAGCAAATGGAGAAGTTAAAGTTACAAAGCCGAACCTTGACCGTGAAGTGAGTGAAACCTGTTTTGTGTGAGCTGGTTAACATTAACTATCAGGCTTACAATGGGTTAGCATGTTGAGTTAGTCTGTTAAACTCTTGCTGCCACATACCCAAATCTCAATGGACTGTGAAGGTAGATGTTGAAAGGGTGTTTCCTCTTGTCAGGAAATCTAGAAAGCGGAGCGCAATTTCAACCTGACAGATCTCCCATTTAAGCAGGAGGTGAGGAGGAATTTCTTCTCTCTGAGAATTTTTTAGTGTTGTGACCAAGGGAGGGAAAACATCCCGGAATATATTTAAGGCCAAGTTAGAGAGAGATGTTTGATCGGTGATGAAGTACAGGCTTACTTGGGGGCAGGGGAGGGGGTGAGGTCCCAAACTCTGGCTCAGAAGGTCCAGGTTCAAGTCCCCACCTGCCTCAGGCACGTGTCATTAGCATGTCTGAAAGGTTGAAAGTGGAGTCAAGATGAGGATCAGATCGGCCTTAATTCTATTGAAAGCAAGGCAAACTTGATGGGTATTATTGGCAATAAAGCAAGGATCATACCCCTAGATCAATGAGCCGTGTCTTCATTGGGGTGACACGGTGGCTCAGTGGTTAGCACTGCTGCCTCACAGCACCAGGGACCTGGGTTTGATTCCAGCCTCAGGCAACTGTCTGTGTGGAGTTTGCACATTCTCCCCGTGTCTGCATGGGTTTCCTCCGGGTGCTCTGGTTTCCTCCCACGGTCCAAAGATGTGTATGTCAGGGTGGATTAGCCATGCTAAATTGCTCATAGTGTTCAGCGATGTGTAGATCAGGTGGGATAAAGGGGTAGTGGGATACTTTTCGCAGGATCAGAGCAGAAGGGCCTGTTTCCACGCTGTAGGGATTCTATTCTAGGATAAACCTGTTGGACGATATCCTGACGTCTTGTGACTTCTGACATTATATACAAGGACACTGTCAATTTGAAGGTTGACATTTATCAACTCAGATGTAACTGGATGAACCTATCTTAAACTAACCAGAGGCTGGGGACGGTGACCTTATAGAGGTTTATAAGATCATGATGGGCACAGACAGGGTGAATAGCCAAGGTCTTTTTCCCAGGGTAGGGGAGTCCAAAACAAGAGGGCATAGGTTTAAGGTGAGAGAGGAAAGATTTAAAAGGGACCAAAGGGGCAACTTTTTCATTCAGAGGGTGGTGCGTGTATGGATGGTGCTGCCGGAGGAAGTGGCGGAGGCTGGTACAATTACAACATTTAAAAGGCATCTGGATGGGTATATGAATAGGAAGGGTTTAGAGGGATATGGGCCAAATGCTGGCAAATAGGAGTAGGTCAGATTGGGATGTCTACTCGGTGCGGACAAGTTGAACCAAAGGGTCTTTTTGTGTGATGTATAACTCTGTGACTATAACATTTGCCAGAAATACATCCCCAAACCCTTTTTATGCTGTTTCTTATTAAGACCCAGGATTTCTATAGTTTCATTCTTGAAGCTCGTGATCTGAGAGGGAAAAGTCAAGGACTCAGTGCGACAGCAACAGCTCAGATCAAGATTTTAGATGTTAATGACAATATCCCCACTGTGAAATATTTTGAGGTAAGATTAACTCTGACACAGCTTTCTTTTAAGAAAGGCAGCAAATAAAACTGATCATGGGCAATCATTTCAAACTATGCAGAACCCTTTTTTTTTCTATGGTATTAAGGGAAGTCAGTAGTTTTAAATTGAAGCTTGCAGCACAGCAACCATTCAATATGTGAAGCTCGACACCATCCAGGACAAAGCAGCCTATTTGATTAGCACCACATCCACAAATATTCACTCCCTCCATCACCGACGCTCAGTAGCAGCAGTGTGTACTATCTACAAGATGCACTGCAGAAATTCACCAAAGATCCTCAGACACCACCTTCAAAACCCACGACTACTTCCATCCAGAAGGACAAGTTCAACAGATACATGGGAACACCGCCCCCTGCAAGTTCCCTTCCAAACCTCTCACCATCCTGACTTGGAAATATATCGCCATTCTTTCAGTGTCGCTGGGTCACAACCCTGGAATCCCCTCCCTCAGGACATTGTGGGTCTACCTACAGCACATGGACTGCAGCGGTTCAAGAAGGCAGCTCACCCCCACCTTCTCAAGGGGCAACTAGAGACGGTGAAATAAAATGCTGACCCAGGCAGCAACGCCCATATCCCATGAATGAATAAAACAAATCTGTTCCGTCCTAGTGTTTATGCTGTGCATGAGCCTCCTCCCACCCCTCTTCATCTCACCTCAGAAATAAATCCTTTTCTTTTCTCTGTTGTGTGTTTGCTACATTCCTCATCAAAAATATCTATGCCATTCCCCTCAACCAAGTTGCACATATTTCCCCCTCTCTGGGTAAAATGGTTTACGCTGAACCCCAAATTGGATTAATCAGTGATGTTGCATACTGATAGCCCCTCATCCTGCTGTCACCCACAAATGAAAACATGTCCTTCATGCCTCGGGATGTTATTACTTCCAAGGCACTATATAAAGGTAAGTTGAAGTTTGTGTTGTCAACTCTATCGGACTCATTCAAAATATTTTAAAACCACTCTCGGGTCACTCCTGAGTTTTTTAATTTATTTATTTTCCTCTGTCCTGTGGGCACCTGAAAGGGAAATTCACAGCTTCAGGAATCCTTTATTGCATTAGAATTCTTAAACCCATTCGCATGATTCTTGTCAGCCTGTTAAAAAGTTATGCTGTTGCGCTCTTTTGAGGTTTCCCAACCTATTTTAATCAGCCTCATTTTAGCACTGTAAATAATGTTACTCCTGTTCTCTGCTTAGCATGAAATTTTAGTGTGGAAATGTCTTCAGAAGTTTAACAAGCGTTTTTGTACCTCAGTGTGCATGTGCCCATTCCCAGCAATAATCTTCCACTTTCTATCTTCCTAGCTGTATACTTTTGTCAAGGCCAGTTGTGGTAAGAGTGACTGTGGATTCAGGATGGTCACTTTTGACACGCATTCTCTGTGACCCAAGGTTGTACAGAGAAGCACAGCATTTCTCTCTCTTTTTAAATGGAAAACATTCTCAGCTCAATTGGAAATCTGGAGATATACCACCATATTTTGCATTTAACCTAGAAGGGTTAATTGACATTGTGAGATAGGGTCCACCCATCAGAATCCTGGGCAGAGCTGAGCACAGAGTGTTAATGCGTCTCTGCTGGTGCTTTGTTGCTAAGTTGCTAATGATAATGTGTACATTGAACATCATGTCTTACAAGAGATCTCAGATGCAATGCTACTAGGTATCACTGCCACGATTGAATCTGTTGACTGCACTGTTGGTTTGTAATGCTGAGTGATACCGTAGGTTCAAGCATAGAAAAAAGGAACAGGAGGAGGCCATTTGGTCCTTCGAACCTGCTCTGCCATTCAATATGATCATGGCTCATCATCCAACTCAGTCCCCTGTTCCTGCTTTTCCCCCCATATCCTTTGATCCCTTTAGCCCCAAGAACAGTACCTAACTCCTCCTTGAAAACATCCAATGTTTTGACCTCAACCACTTTCAGTGGCAGAGAATTCCACAGGCTCACCACTCTCAGGGGGAAGATATTTCTCCTCATCTCAGTCCTCAGTAGCCTACCCCGTATCCTTAGACTGTGACCCCCTGGTTCTGGACTCCCCTGGTTGTTGGGAACGTCCTTCCCTGTGTTTACCCCTATCTAGTGCTGTTGGAATTTTATAGGTTTCTATGAGATCCCTCCCTCGTTCCTGTGAACTCCAGTAAACAATTCTCTAACAAATCCAAACCTCTCTCCGTACATCAGTCCTGGATCCCATGAAGCAATCTGGTTCAGTTTGTGCACTGGCTGAGGTCACCATGAAGATCCTTCCTCTATAGTTCACCCCTTGTCTGAGGTGTAGTGACCAATACTTCACTCTCACACTATCTATCAAGATTGAGTCTGTCTGCTGCTATAAGACTTTGTGTTGGCATCCTTATCCACTCGGATATCAATAGAATCATAAAATCCCCGCACTGTAGAAAGAGACCATTCAGTCCATACCCACCTTTCAAAGGGCATCCTACCCAGACCCAGCACCCCTTACCCTATCCCTGAATTTCCCTGTGGCTAATCCACCCAGCCTACACATTCTTGGACAATTTGGCATGGTCAGTCCACCTAACCTGTATATCTTTGGGATGCAGGAAGAAACCCACACAGACACAGGGAGAATGTGCAAACTCCACACAGACAGTTGCCCAAGGGTGGTAATTGAACCCAGGTCCCTGGCACTGTGAGGCAGCAGTGCTAACCACTGAGCCACCATGCCTCCCACAGAGATTAGACAAATCTAATGAAGAATGACTGATGGGAGTGTATCTGCTAAAAGTCCCACGGTTCTAACCAGCTGTCCATTCAGACAGATCCCTTTACAATATAACCACTGATTTGTTTCGAGAAGATTATTTTCAATGAAGCAAATTTTCATGATTTCTTTTTCAGTACGAATTAAGCGTGAAAGAAAATGTGAAAAATATCCAATTGATACGCATAAAGGTATTAGATAAGGATGAAGAGTTCAGTGATAATTGGTTGGCACACTTTGATATTATTGAAGGCAATGAAGGCGAGTATTTCAGGATTGAAGTCGATAATCGAACAAATGAGGGAATTTTGATTAATCAGAAGGTAAACTTGTAAACCACATTTACTCAATTTTATTTCGTGGGATTTGAGCACTTGTATTAAGGCTGGTCCATCCCTAATTCCCCTTGAACTGTGTGGTTTGAGGCCATTTCAGAGTCAGCCATTTTGCTGCAGACTCACATGTAGGCCAGACTAGGTAAGGATGTCAGATTTCCTTCCCTAAATGGCATTAATGAGCCAAATAAATTTTTTCCCCGACAATTGGCAATAGTTTCACAGTCATCATTAGACCCTTAATGTCAACTTTTTGTTCGTAATGAATTTAAAATTAAATGCCACGGTGAGATTTGAACCTGAATCTGTCTGGTTTAATAATCCAGCATTAACACCATTAGGCCATTCGCTCCTTGAGGAAGTTGAGTGGACTGGGAGGAGGAGAAGTACAGTTTCTTAAGAATAATAACACAGCTAAGAATTTACTTATGAAATTATGAGGCAGGTAACAATACCTGGCAGATGATGGCCCAGTGTTATTATCGCTAGATTATTAATCCAGAGACTCAGGTAATGTTCTGCGGACCCAGATTTGAATCCTGCCACAAGCAGAGGGTGGAATTTGAATTCAATAAATATCCGAGATTAAAAAGTCTAATGATGATTGTCATCATTGCTGATTGTCAGGAAAAATCCATCTGGTTCATTAATGTCCTTTAGGGAAGGAAACTGCCATCCTTACTGGTCTGACCTACATGTAACTCCAGACCCACAGCAATGTGGTTGACTCTTAGCTGCCCTCTAAGCAATTAGGGATGGGCAATGAATGCTGGCCTGGCCAGCGACCATCCCATGAATTAATTAAAATTAGGTTTCTACTCCTTTGAATATGTAAAATTAATGATTGATTTAATTGCATTGTTAAGATGGGAAAAGGATTTGATAGAATTGGTAAGGAAAAGCGATCCTCTCTCCATGGGGTGGGAGTCCAAACAGGGGAATGTAATTGTAAAATCAGAGGCAGGCCATTAATGTGTGATATCAGGAAGTACTTGTTTGCAATAAAGGAAATAGATTCTGGAACTCAACCCACTCCAAATGTGAAAAGTCCCATTAGGGCTGGGGTCAACTGAATGTTGTAAAACTTGGGTAAATATTTAAGGTGTAGTGTTAAAGGCTCGTGACTTAAGGTGGGCGTGTGGAGTTAAGATACAGTTCAGCGCCAAACTTAACAAAATGGTGGAACAGACCAAGGGGCTGAATGACCTCCTCCTTTTCCCATGTTTGTTAGTACAACAGAATAAATGAATACGTTGAATCATAGAATTTTGTAGTACAGATGGAGGCCATTCAACCCATCATGTCTGTACCAGCTCCTGAAACAGCTTCCCAGCTGGTCCCAATATCCAGCCCTAACTCCGATGATGTCATTGATTACTTTTATTCTGATTTGGTCAGAATTCTTCCCCATTTTCTTTTTGTTGAATTTCCTCCATTTTCACTGCCTTCTCTTCAACCATGTCCAGGAACTGAACTATGAAGAAGTGAAACAGGTGAATTTGGTTATTCGGTTGGGTAACAAGGCACCATTCCACAGCTCGGTCTCTACAAGCAGCATCTTAAAGCCTATTAAAGTAAAACTCATAGTGGCAGACGTGACAGAAGGTTATGAATTTAGACCCTCAAAATGGATGGTAACAGTTACAGAAACTATCACCAGTAAGCTGGTTAATAAAGTGCTGGGGAAGTATCCTGCTGTTAGTGCTGATACTGGCAAACAGAGCAAAATGACCAAGTAAGTAATGGTTCTGTTGTTCGTTTTGTAGAATTTTGTTTCAAAAAAAGCACATCCAGCCAAAAAGTTTCAACCGTATTTCACAACATTCATGACAGGTACGCCAAGGATGTTGATGCTGCTAACTGGTTAGTGATCAACCCTGACACTGGGGAGGTTACTTTCAATGGCGTCCCCGATCGAGAGTCTAGCTATGTGACTAATGGGACATACACTGCAACCATATTGGCCATAAATAATGAACGTAAGTAGATGAAGAAATACTAACTCGAATTTTAACATGTATCAATAAACAAAGATGTGGAGGTGCCGTTGTCAGACTGGGGTGAACAAAGTCAGGAGTTACACAACACCAGGTTGACACCAAGTCAACGTCACCTGATGAAGGGGCAACGCTCCGAAAGCTTGCGATTTCAAATAAACCTGTTGGACCATAACCTAGTGTCACGTGACTTCTGACTCCATAAACAAAGGTGAAGTTACCATAGTGTTACCAGACCATAGGCTGCCCTCTCGTTAGAGGCCACAGAGAGATGGTGGGAGGTGGTTTAACCTGAGGGTCACCACACCTCAGGCGAGGTGGGGGTGGGGGGCAGCGGTTGAGAAGCAGAGTCTTTCATGGAATTGGACCCATGCTGTTGGTGTCACTCTCTGCATTGCAAACCAGCTGTCCAGCCAACCCCCCTCCCCCCCCCCCCCCCCCCCCATTAATAAGCACAAATACACTAAAATGAAAGCAAAGCGCTGCAGATGCTGGCGATCTGAAATCAAAACAGAAAATGCTGGAGAAACGTTGCGGGTCTCCGGAGGGAGAAATAGAGGTAACATCTGAGCCTGATATGACTCTTTTCTGGAACTTAAGAAAACAATACACTCTTCAAATTCTATTTCCGTTTTGGTGGTATAACTATAGCATTACTTTTCTGCCAGTGTTTACAGGATGGTGCTAATTAAATCAGATATTATCTACTGATAAGCAAGTCCAATAATGATAGATTTATGAATGGAAATGATTTAGAGATGGCTCCTGACAATGTCAAAAGATGGGACTGTGATTGTTTCTTGTTCCAGTGTGGGATTGTCCTTTAGGAAGGAAAATTGTTGGTACATTGTCTTTGAAACAAATTGGTTGTCACGATATACTTATGCCATGCGTGTTTATAAAATATTTTAGGTTTTCAACTATAAGGTTTAAAATGAGTTTACCGTAGAACATAGAGCAGTACAGCACAGTACAGGCCCTTCAGCCCACGATGTTGTGCCGACCTATTATCCTACGAAGATCAATCTACCCTGCATACCCTACATTTTACTATCCTACACATGCCTATCCAAGCATTGTTTAAAAGTCTGTAAAGTATCTGACTCCACTACCACTGCCGGAAGCGCATTCCACGCACCCACCAATCCCTGTGTGAAGAACCTACCTCTGACATCTCCCCTATGCCTTCCTCCAATCACCTTAAAATTATGCCCCCTCATAATAGTCATTTCCACCCTGGGAAAAAGTCTCTGACTATCCACTCTATCTATGCCTCTCATCATCTTGTAAACCTCTATCAAGTCACCTCTCATCCTTCTTCGCTCCAATGAAAAAAACCCTAGCTCCCTCAACCTTTCCTCATAAGACCTGCCCTCCAGTCCAGTCCAGGCAGCATCCTGGTAAATCTCCTCTGCACCCTCTGTAAAGCTTCCACATCTTTCCTATAATGAGGTGACCAGAACTGAACACAATATTCCAAGTGTGGTCTAACCAGGGTTTTATAGAGCTGCAGCATAATCTCACAGCTCTTTTAAATTCAATTCCCCTGCCAATGAAATATCTTGCATTCTCCAGAAGAAGTTTGTTCCACGTGACACTGAGTGTGTGGACTTTTCTACTGATCACAAACTCGGCATTACAGGTCGATAGTTTAGGACTGAAATGCAGAGAAATTAATTCACTCAAACCATTGTGAATCTTTCAACGTATTTGAGCCTGGGGCAGACAGAGCCTAGTACTCACAGGGGTTGTAGCTTTTACCATTCAATCATTTGGGATCAGTTCCATTTTTGATTGAAGAAATTAGGAGATATCGTCTGTTGTTAACTGGAAGCTTTTGTCGTTATTTTGTGATAAGTTCATCTTATTTCTAAAGAAAGTACAAACTAGTCCACATTTTAGCTGCTACTTTTTGTACACCTTGAGGGTTTGTGTTCTCTGTACATGTTGATTTCAAGGCAAATGTTTATAAGCAGCGGACTCATCAAAGACTGTTGAACTTCTAACTTATTCCTTTGTTTTTTATAGTTTAAACTATGGAAGACTTTAATGTAAACTATTACCTATTTCTTTATTTTTCTGCTATTTTATGAAGCAATGGTTAACTTTGTAACTCTCATTTCTCTTACTACTTTATACCTAAGCTTTTTTTTTGTACCTGGGTACCTTGCGCCTAAGATGGCACCATATGTGGCGACATTATACACTTTTCACTGTACTCCTGTGCTCCTGGACTTGAGTACACGAGACGATAAAATCTAAAATCTAAAAGAAACTGAAAAATCATCGCAAAACTTTAATTATGGTTTCGGTGTCAATCTGAGCAACGTTTCTTTTTCCTCCGCTGTCTTTGTCTTTCCTTTCTCAGATACTCCAGCCTCAACTTCCACAGGAACCATTGTTATTCGAGTGCAAGATGCCAATGATCATTGGCCAAACTTTGTGGATTTACATCCGTGTATGTGTGGCAATGCAAAGTCCTTGAGCCTCACTGCTTTTGATGCAGATGGACCTCCGTATGCAGCCCCTTTCCAGTTTAATCTAGACTCTAATACGAAGTGGAAATTAGGTCATACTAATGGTAAGACATGATAGTGACCTTAGTTTGAGGAGAATGATTTTTCTTAAAGAATCTTCATTTACTACTTTAGTGTAGGCAGTGATGTCACTGGATTCGCAAACTGCACAGGCCTAGGTTAATGCTCTGGGGACACAGGTTCAAATCTCAACAGGGCTGCTCGTGGAATTTTAAATTCACTTAGTAAAATCTGGAGTTAAAACTATCCCAGTAATGGTGCCCATGAACATATCACTGATTGTTGTAAAAACACATCTGCTTCACCCAGCCTCTTAGGGAAGGAAATCTGCAGTCCTTACCTGGTCTGTCCTACAAGTGACTCCAGACCCACAGCGATGGGGCTGACTCTTAACTGCCCTATGAAAAGGCCCTAGCAAGCCACTCAGTTCAAGGGGCAATTGGAGATGGTCCAGTGCTGAACTGGCCCTGCCAGAGATGTCTACAACCCATTGTTCCTCGACATACACATTTAAATCCTGATCATAACCCGATAGATTCCTAGAAACATGAACACACAAATTAGGAGCAACAGTAGGCCACTGAGGCCCCTGAGCATATTCAGCCATGCAATAAGATCATGGCTGATCTGATTGTAACCTCAAATCCCTGCTCTCATGCGCCCTTTCTCGTGGTATGTTTTAGTTTTTACTGACTCTCCATTCTACCGAAACGTCTCACCCCATTGTGCTACAGTGAACTTTCTGTGCCACCAATCTGCCCATTCCATCAACATGTCAATGTCCTTTAGAACTTCTACATTGTCCTCCTGACTGTTTACAATGCTCCCAAGTCTTGTGTTCTGTGCAAACGTTGAAACTGTCTAATGCTCACCAATAATTAAAATGTATCAGAAAAAACAAGGGTTCCAATCCTGACTCCTAGGAAACGTCACCATAAACCTTCCTCCAGCCTCAAAAATATCCATTGATTATTACTGTTTCTTTCCCAACACTCAGCCAGCTCTTTTTATACCATGACCTCACCACACTGTTGTGTGGCACTACTCCTACCTTGGACGTAACATCTTAACTGTTGAAGTTCTTAATGATCCTTCAGTTGAGTGGTAGAATTTGTATAGGTTAAAACCAAAGTTAATTTTTAAACCGTTCATTCCTTCAAGCAAGGTTAGATTTCACACCTAATGCTCCACTTTCTTAAGATGGTTACAAATCATGAATTTAGTAATGAAGCTTTTAATTACACAACATTTTATTTATGCATATTTTTTAAGAAAAAGTTTGATATAATTCTTAGGACTAAATGGATTAAAGGGAATGAGGAGAAAACAGGAACAGGAGACTGAATTGGGTAATCAATTGGCTATGATCATATTGAATGGCGGAGCAGGCTCGAAGGGCCAAACACCTAACCCTGCTCCTGCTTTCTTATTCACCCCAACTCCCTATTTTCTGCATATAAACTGATGTTTTCCCAGCCACCATCAGTTCTGAGGAAGGGTCACCAGACCCGAAATGTTAACTCTGTTTTCTCCTCCACAGATGCTGCCAGACCTGCTGAGCTTTTCCAGCAATTTTATTTTTGCTCCTGCTCCTACTTTCTTTGTTCCTGTGTAAAAGTGGAAAGCCCTTTTTATTTATTTATTCACAAGTTGTGAGTGTTGCTGGCTAGGCCAGTCCCTAATTGCCCCTTGAGAAGGTGGGGGTGAGCTGCCTTCTTGAACCATTGCAGTTCATGTGCTGTAGGGTTGACCCACAATGCCCTTAGGGAGGGAATTCCAGGATTTTGACCCAGTGACACTGAAGGGACGGGCGATACATTTCCAAGTCAGGATGATGAGTGACTTGGAGGGGAACTTGGAGGGGGTGGTGTTCCCATGTATCTGCTGCCCCTATCCTTTGACATGGTGGTGGCTGTGTGAGCAATGCTATGCTCTCAATGACTAACACTTTCAATCCTTTCTTTAAAGCAACTAGCATGGAGCTGATTCCTGTCGGACATTTATGGCCTGGAATATTTACTGTACCGATATCTATCAAAGATAACGATGGAAATGGGCACTTGGTAAACCTCAATGTTCACGTCATTGATTGCCATGAGGTCAACACATGCAGGACAGAGAAATTATTCCTGTCACCAAAGGCATACCTTGGTGCTGCTGCTGTGGGTCTCATGGTGTTGGCCTTACTGCTGCTCCTGCGTAAGTATGAAATGATTGATAGCCCTCAGCTATCATTGTAACCCAGTTTGCCGTTGTGACAAACTAAAATTGATCTTTTTGCAACTGTGTTTCAAAATCATCATCCATTGGCTTGTCTAATCTCTCGATTCAGAAAGAGAACAGCCAGCCCTTCATAGCGGGAGTAAGAACTGCCGATGCTGGAGTCAGAGATAACACACAGTGTGGAGCTGGATGAACACAGCAGGCCAGGCAGCATCACAGGAGCAGGAAAGCTGACATTTTGGGTCTGGACCCTTCTTCAGAAATGGGGGATGGGGAAGGGAGCTCAGAAATAAATAGAGAGAGGAGGGGTGGGGCTGGGGAAGGTAGGTGGGATGGTGATAGATGGGTGCAGGTAGGCAGTGGTGGGGATTGGTCAGTGAGGTGGGAGGGGTGGATAGGTGGGAGAGAAGACGGACAGGTCAAGGGGATGAGAGGGAGGGATGGTCATGAGATGAGGCCAGGAGTGGGGAGATTTTGAAACTAGTAAAGCCCACATTAAGACCATTGGGCTGTAGGCTCCCGAGGTGGAATATGAGATGCTGCTCCTCCAGTTTGTGGGCGGCGTCATTGTGACACTGGAGGAGACCCAGGATGGACATGTCACCCAGGGAGTGGGAGGGGGAGTTGAAGTGGTTAGCAACTGGAACGTGTTGTCATTTGTGGCGAACCGAGTGCAAGTTCTCTTCAAAGCAAGCCTCCACTTGGTCTCACCGATGTAGAGGAGCCCTTCATACCTGTGCTTCTTCTTTGAATGATCTTTGTAATTCGTCCTGCTTCCCTGGAGTCGGACAGATGTGTCCTTTTCAAAGTGTTGAAGTCCAGCAAATTTTTTATTAACCAGGAGTGTGCCAGTTGATCAAATATCCCAGCTAATCGAAAGGTCCACATACTCAGTGTAAAAACACAGACTATGTAACAGAAACATAATGCAGCAGGTACACACATCAATGTTATACTTTACAGCATAGCTCACTTAAATAAGTGAAACTATATACTATGTATATTTATATATATAAAATATATATATTTATATATATATAAAATCATCACAAATAATAAAGCAACTTTGCCTTAAATAAAACTTACTGGCAGAGAGCCTTCTCAGTCACACCCTCATCTGACCACTCGGAGATCGCAATAATGCAGTAAACTGTAGTACGTACAGTTCTGGTCGTCACATTACCAAAAGGATGTGGATGCTTTGGAGACGGTGCAGAGGAGGTTCACCAGGATGTTGCCTGGTATGGAGGGCGCTAGCTATGAAGAGAGGTTGAGTAGATTAGGATTATTTACATTAAAAAGATAGAGGTTGAGGGGGCACCTGATTGAGGTCTACAAAATCATGAGGTGTATAGACAGGGTGGATAGCAAGAAGCTTTTTCCCAGAGTGGGGGACTCAATTACTCGGGGTCATGATTTCAAGGTGAGAGGGGAAAAGTTTAAGGGAGATATGCGCGGAAAGTTCTTTACACAGAGGGTGGTGGGTGCCTGGAACGCATTGCCAGCGGAGGTGGTAGAGGCAGGCACGATTGCTTCATTTAAGATGTATCTAGACAGATACATGAATGGGCAGAGAGCAGAGGGATACAGATCCTTGGAAAATAGGCGACAGGTTTAGACAGGGGATCTGGATCGACGCAGGCTTGGAGGGCTGAAGGGCCTGTTCCTGTGCTGTAATTTTCTTTGTTCTTTGTTCTTTGTATATCTTTTACCGGTTTATTGAGAGTGCCAGTTCATAAGGTGCCTGTTAAACCAATCTTTGCTGTATTTCCCTTTTGCAAGTTCCTGTTGCATCTACTCCCCAGTTCTCGATCATTCCAACTTGATGCTTAATGTGAGCTCTCCCCCGTCTTTGTCTCCCCTGGATGCTGTCCATTGGTGTCATCCCTCTCCTCCCTTGTTCGGCTCTTTTGTTATTGAGCCGACTGCAGCCAGAATAATTTCCAGCCATGGTTTCTCTTCACACTCCTGCTTGGCTTGAGGGAAACAATGACCTTGTCACTCAGCGAGTAACGCAGAGCAGCAACCTAATCTTCTATACTCACAAGTTCAAATCCTGTTGTGTAAGGCAATGGTTCTGAAGGAGTTAAATGTTTGTGTAACACTGAGCTCCACCCAATCTGATGATGTCACACACTCTGGGTGGAGGCGGTGTTGAGTTCTGTGTGAGTTCGCAGAGACAGCAGGGAGCCCTCAGTAGTTAGGCTTGGCTGAACCAATGTGAATCAATGCTATCATGCAATAAATTATCTCGATATGCAAATCAAGTCCCTCTTCTATTTAGCCTTAGACTTGGGCACTACCTGGATTTACATCTGCCACTAATAATTAGTCAGGCCCTAAACTCAGCATAAAGCAAGGAGGACATGGAGAGAGGCTTTTCACCCCCTCACTCCTTTCATAAGTGTGAGGACTGGAGTAAATAATTATTGACAAGAGAGACACATTCTGGAAGCTTTTCATCCAGAATTCATCAGGGCAAATGCAAGAATGCCAACTTTTCAAATGATCACAACAATTTAAACTTCAGGAGAACAGGGTGCTTATTGGCCAAGGAGAAATTATAGGCTCCTGGGTGATTCAGAAGAGTTGCGAGGCTGGAACATATAGTTTGCAGAGAATGTGTCTCTGAATGCAAATGTTTGCCACTTCTGTTGAGTGTAAATGAGACACCAGACAAGCTCAACTGCGTGTCTTAAATGGCTCATTTGTGTAACTACTAATACATTCTGGATTGTTCAGCAAGTTGCTGAGACATGCTTTGCTTTGGATTTTGTGAGCATGAGCTGGCCAAGAACAGTCTTCCCCCTACCCACAACTGAAGAAACAGGCTCTTTGACCCAATCAGCCAATCATTTCTTTTGTTTGTTTATATAAATTCATAGTTTAATGTCATTAGTTGGGTTCTCGAGGCTTGATTGTTTAAATTGTGACTTTACAGTTGTTCCTTTGTTGCTACTGTTTTGTCAATGTGGTGGTGGAATGAGGAAACGAGGATTCTTTGTGATACCGTCTGAGCCTGTGGGATCCCTCACAAAATGCAACTTTGAAGGTGGAGGGCCTGTCGACACGGTTTGTAATCTCAACCATTTCAAATCCACTCTTCGTCTTTAGTCAGTTGTGGCAAACAAAGCCCCTTCTCTGGTGGAGAAATGGTGGTGTGATTGACTAGTAATCTGGGGTCTTACAGCAATGTTCTTGGAGTGGGGGTTGGTCTATGGGTGTTGGAGAGGAGCTATGGGCGTAGGTGTGGGGGAAGGTTCCGGCTTTGGGGTGGGCCCCGGGTGTGGGGTTAGGGCACTGGGTACGGGGTGGAGGAGGTGTTCTGCATTCGGGGGAGGGTCACTCTGGATATGGGGTGGAAGAGGTGCTTTGGGTTTCTGGGAGGGGCTGTTGGTTTGAGGGAGGGTCTCTGGGTGTGAGGTAGGGGCTCTGTGTGGGGTGGAGGAGGTGCTCTGAGTTTGGGGGTGGGGCTGTGGGTTTGGGGGGTCTCTGGGTACAGGGTTTGAGAAAGGCTCTGAGAATGGGGGTGGGGTTCTGACTGGGGGATGGTAGGGACTGAGGGTGCAGTGTTTGAGAAGGGCTCTGGGTGTGGGGGAGAGTCTCTGGGTGTGGGGGGGGGTCTCTGGGTGGGAGGGGGGAGGGTCTCTGGGCGCATAGTGTAGGCTGGGGTTGTGGGAGTCTAAAAGGTGACAGCTGTGGGGTGAGGGCTCACCATAGATTATGGTATTAGGTTGGGTGGGGGCAGTGTCAGGATGGGGGTTAATTAATGTAGGGTTTTAGTTGGGACCAATGGGGACAAATTGCCTCGGGTTGGGCGTGAGTCACATTACATGGGCCAATGCGAATATTTCCCAAATACGAATCTGTGCCAAAATTACCCCGTTCCTTATCCATTTTAGCCAGCTCCTGTACAACTGCTTCATACCTCAGGGTCCATTTTCGATGAGTAATGCCATGAATCTGTTATCAGTTCATTGGTAGCTGGTGTTAAATGTATCCATAATGTGCAGCCTACATGTTTATTAAAAAGTTGCTACCAATTATCTAATGAAAGTCAACTATGTGGTTCACATTTCTTTCAAAGATATTTTAGAAACAACTTGTTCAGAGGTTCGAGTAAACTGAGCCCTCTTGTCCATAGGTAGGGAAACCATTACCGTACCATTACAACCTCCTACACATTTATTACATTGAGCTCACAGGCAGCGAGGGATGGATAATAAATGCTGGCCCAGCCGCATCCTATAAATGCATTAAATGAAAGATAGAGCTGGATTCATTGCATTTCTCTGCTATTAAATACGATCGTGGTTGATGCTTTGTCTCAACTCTACTTTCCCACCTGCTCCCGACATCTTGTGATTCTCTGAGACACAAAGGTCTGTTTATCCTGGCCTTAAATATCTGCACAAACCTCACCCCACCGCCCGAAACAGGAAATTCCGAAGATTTGCAATCCTTTGAATGAGGTAATTTCTCCCACCTCAGTTCCTTTGTCCTGAGACAGTGCCCCTGTGTTTTAAATTCCCCTGCTGGGAGGAGGGAGGGTGGCGGGGGATAGCCCCCTACAGTGTCTACCTTGTAAAGCCCCTTCAGAACTTAATCTATTTCAGTGAGGTCACCTCTCATTCATCTAAATTACAAAGAATATAGGGCCACCTCATCATAAGGCAACCCATCCTACATCCCTGGGACCAGGATTCACTGGGTTCTTCTTTGTAATTCTACAAAATGACCTGACTGATATCTGAGTATTGGTGCATTTAGGGAACTTATGCCTATTGTAAGTCACAAATGCGTTTACGTTTGTCACAGATGGTGCCAGTCATTTCTCACGGCGGTAAAGCAGGAATAATTCAAACAACGGTAAGCTTTGATGGAGCAGGAGCTGGAAGAAGCGCAGTTTCCACTGATTTCATAGGATCTGGTGATGTCGTACGATCTGGTGGCATAGAAATGTCTAAATTCGATGAGACGTTTGAGAAACAGATGAAGTGGGAGGAGGAAGAAGACAAACACCATGTTTCCAAAACAACTTCGAGTCAATTGGTTCCCATTTGGAATGAGAGAGTTTGGCATGGTGTCCCTGGAACCTTGGCAGGGGGTCCAACTTGCAGTCAATTCTCATCTGGTGAAAAACTGTGGGAAGGTTCTTGTAAAACTTTCATCGATGAATACATCCGTAAGGTAGGCAGTGGTCATCTCATCGTAACCTACCTTTGTGGGGTGACATGCTCTGAACATCACATACAACAACATGGGCCAGTAAACTGGACAGAGGGATGGTATCCATTAACAGGACGAGGCCTGTAGTACCTATGCTGGCCCTAGGAATGACCTACCAATCCGTCCCACTTACTTACTGTTTCCCCATATTAATGTACTAATCCAATTCCCTTTCATGAGCTATCATCAAATTTCCAATTCCACTTCAGGGGAATTGAGTGTAAGAGCTGTGAGGTTATGCTGCCGCTCTATAAAACTCTAGTTAGACCACACTTGGAATATTGTGTTCAGTTCTGGTCGCCTCATTATAGGAAGGATGTGGAAGCTTTAGAAAGGGTGCAGAGGAGATTTACCAGGATGCTGCCTGGGACTGGAGGGCAGGTCTTATGAGGAAAGGTTGAGGGAGCTAGGGCTTTTTTCATTGGAGCGAAGAAGGATGAGAGGTGACTTGATAGAGGTTTACAAGATGATGAGAGGCATAGATAGAGTGGATAGTCAGAGACTTTCTCCCAGGGCGGAAATGACTATTACGAGGGGGCATAATTTTAAGGTGATTGGAGGAAGGTGTGGGGAGATGTCAGAGGTAGGTTCTTCACACAGAGAGTGGTGGGCGTGTGGAAAACGCTTCCGGCAGTGGGAGTGGAGTCAGATACTTTAGACACTTTTAAGCGACTCTTGGATAGGCACATGGAGGATGGTAAAATGTAGGGTATGCAGGGTAGATTGATCTTAGTAGGATAATAGGTCGGCACAACATCGTGGGCCGAAGGGCCTGTACTGTGCTCTACTGTTCTATGTTCCCTTTCAGACAGAAGATAAAAAGAATTTAAAAAAATGTTTTATCTTCATCCTGTTATGGCCTGGTAATGTGGTGGAGCAGGTACAATTGAGGCATTCAAGAGGGCATTGGGTGGCTTATTGGTGGCAATGATGGGCAGGGATATTGGAAAAAGGCAAGAGATTGCCACCAGGTAATAGAACTAGTACAGGTATGAGGTGGGCTAAATAGCCTGTTGCACCATAAAATTCAGTGATTATGTGAATTGT